CAAACTGATTTACGTTTTTTTTTTTTGTTTTTTTTTTTTTAAAGTTCTGGTTGCTGTATTAAAACAGACAAGATATGGAGGAGAGAAAGAGTTAGGCAGAAACTGTGACAGAAGTAACGGTGGCTTTGGCCTTGGAGTAGGCAACAGAGGTAATGAGAAATGGTCAGATTTTTAGTATGGTCTTAAAGTGGTGAGACCCTGGTGCATCCACAGAATCTTGTTGTTTTGGTTTTGGTACTGAAGATTGAATGCCGGGGTGTTTTATCACTGGAGCCCTTTTTATTTATTTATTTATTTTGAGACAGACTTAAGTTGCTGAAGCTGCCCTGGAACTTGTGGTCCTCCTGCCTCAGCCTCCAGAGTTGCTAGGATTTCAGGCGTATGCCAGAAATGAACATGTATTCTTTAACGAAGGTCTTTAGGGTAAAGTGATCAGGAGACAGAGAAGGGGAGGAGGGGAATATGAGTAGACACAAAGGAACAAAAGATGAAGGCAGGGCAGGGTCAGGTGGAGCAAGACACTGTGTGGCAGAAGCTTCAGGGTGGAAGCCATGATGGCAACAGGTGGACATCAGGCCAGAGAGGTGGTGTGGGTCATATCATCAATGCCCTACAGGAGGCAAGAGAGACTCAGAAATGGGTAAAGCTAGGATCTGCGAGTCGGTCATATTTATGGAGGCACCGTTCTGATGGCACTCAGAGGGCAGAAGCAACGCCAGTCAGGACAACAGCAAAACAGTGAAGGAGGAAGATAAATGTAGGCCTGAACTAGGACAGGTCAGCCAGCCTGGAATAAAGGAACAATCTGAGCGATTCTAACAAGGAAGGGGCCAGGGCCTGGGGTTGACTGGGAATGGAAACGTCAGGCAGCCATTGAGGAGAACAAGGTTCCCAATTGGAAGAATGAGATGAGGAGGACCTCACTAGTGGGGCAAATGAGATGGAGGCGCAGTGTGACATGGATCCTTGCTAACATGTGAAGTCACATCCTGTTCCACTTGTGCTCCAAACCCTCGCATGTCTCCTCCTGCCACTCGGAGTAACAGCCGGGTCCTTACCGCAGGCGGCCAGTCACATCACACCAGGCCCGTCGCCATCAGGTCTCATCACCTGGCCTTCCCCCACCTCCCCACCCGCCTCCAGATATGTCAGCCTCCGTGCTTTTCCTCTCACACACCTCAGAGGCTCTGCTGTTCCCTGGCCCAGAACGTCCTACCTTAGTGTCCCCGCAGGTCCTCCCACACCACCAGGAGTAAGACCAAAGAAAGTAGCCATCTTGTCAGTTTCTACAGCTTCATCTCTCTTGTCTGCAACACGCCTGGCACCGCGTGGGGACTAACTGCATTTGTTTCAGTAAGTGATCTGGATCCTGCTGAGTCAGATATACCTGCAGGACTTTCGGGCAGAGCCACCTAGTAGGTAGGCAGGATTGGAGCACTGAAGGTCACAAGGTAGAGCAGAGATGGAGACAGAATTTTGGGTCGTGAGGATGAAGGCAAGCAATCTCAGGAGGATGGACACGGACATGGAGAAAGAGGAAAGCAGTGCAGAGCTTCTTACCCAGGCGCCACCCAGCATGGGCTGGAGTCCTGTTCCTGACACCACCCAGCATGGGCTCGAGTCCTGTTCCTGACACTATCGACTTATAAATCTTGAAAAGATTTTTAAACCTTCTTGTGCCTCAGTTTCCTCACCTCCAAAATGAGGTTTCAATGACACTTGGCTCAGAGCATTCCAGTCATATTCAAATGAGCTAACACATGTCACGTACCTGGAACAGCGCCCGAAAAAATCGGGCACACGGAAAGCCCACGATAAACGAAGGCACCGAGAGAAGTGTGGAGGAGAGCCACATCTTATCTGGATGGGGACAGCATTCACATAAATGACACACCAGCTCTGTCTCCTGGGTCATTCTCCTTTCCTGTGCTCCGTGGTGAGCCACAGAAGTTTGTCTGCTTTTCTGCTTCAATCTTTTCGTTGTTATTATTTCCTTTTGTTTCTGTGCTCTATGGTCACATCAGAGAACACTGCAAGACTTCCTGAAGGTGTGTGGAACTGGAGCATGGTATGCAGGGAAGTTACCGTACAGCAGCAAGAAAATGGGTTCAGAGCCAGACAAATGGAGGTGGAACTCCAGCTCGCACTCAGCTGACTTATCCCTCCTGACGCCTAAAACAGGAACAAGACCCACCCCAAGCTCCTCAAGCTGGGGAAGAGGAGTCCCCAACTACATGTTTATGGAATGAACGAACAAGGCTGTTGTGGGGACTAAATGTGACAGGATTCATTAACATTTAGCACAGTCCCCGGCACACTGTAAGGGTCAATAACATTCCCTGAGTGGGAGCTGCATGGAGTCTTGTTTTCCTGACTGGCAGCTAGACTGGCATTCCTGTGGAAGGCCTATGAAAGGCACCAAGGTCAGGTCTGAACTTTCTGTTATTCGTGTCATTAAAAAGCATTCTGGGTTCATCTTTTAAGAGAATAAGTTTACTTCGACTAAGGTTTTTATGAACGCTCTAAGCCTTGTCTTATTATAAGGTGCATTTAACATGATTAGATATTGGTACGAGGGTTTGTAGTGAGACTTAGAAAAATAACCCAAGAATGAAGAGCTGTTGGCATCTGGGTTTCCATTTATCCTTCAGTATATGGCTGGTTAGATCACAGTGGGCTGATAACCTTTTGTATTTAATTCTTCATGTACTATCTGCACAGTACAAAAGCTGAGATGTCCTAGCAGTTGCTTTACAACAATGCACGTAATTAGGTATCAGAAGGCATCTATCTATGAATATGTTAGTGTTTCAGAACTGATTATATTTTTTGGGTTTGCCTGATTTAAGGGTACTTTTAAAAATTACTTATTTTCCTCACTGCAAAAGAATATATGTTTGCTGCAGATAATTTGGAAAATTACGTAAGCTCAAAAGAGAACATCCTATCACTAAAGGATATAACATTTCTGAGTTATCCTTCAAATATTTACAAACGTCACCTCCTTGGGAAGGTGGGTACATATATAAAAACCAAATTCAAACCACACTAAATTCATTATATAACTGGCTTTAAAAAGTAACTAATACATGCGTTGATTCATTTATTCACTCAAGCAAACTAAGCACTTGCCAGGCTCCAGGCATTGAACTAAGGAAACAGGATGAGCAAAAGAAGAATATTAAAAATCATTACAATCAGATGAGATATGTGCTAATCGAGGTACTGATAAAGTACCACAGAGCAGGTTGAGACAAGTCTGGACTGCAGGAGTGTCAGGGGAGCTGTCTATGGGAGATGACGTGTGAACTCTCACTAACAAGAGCACAGAGATCCAGCAAAGAAGGAGACACTACAGCAAATAATGTAGCAAGAAGTCCCCAAGTTCGAAACTAGTTTGAGGTGCTGTAAAAGTCCATTGTGGATACAAAGGGGTAGGAGTGGGGAGATGAGGCGGGAAACGCAAAAGCCAGGTGATAAACATCCACTGTGGGATCTGAAGCAGGGGGTTAACATGTTCAGATTTACACCTTGGTCAGAAATACTGCAGCATCAAGAATTGAGACAGGTAAACAGGAACACTAGAGAGACCCATAAGAGGACTGATGAGGTGAGAGATAGTGGAGATTATCAGCAGAGATAAAACACAAAGTTTAGAAATGATAATGAACTAGAAGTCAAGAGACCTGGATTCTAACAGGTAAACTCCTTTCTCCTCTTCCTTTCCTGGTTGCTGAGGGTCTGCTATGTACCAGCAGGAGCTATAGAAGATGATATGGCCCCATTTCTATACCTAAGAGCATATATTCCAACAGGAAAAAACAGGTGAAATTTTAGTATTTAGGTACAGTTTTCTTTTTTTCTTTTGCCAATGCCTACTACTTCTTTGGAACTTGGACTCCTTTGAGGAAACCATCCATCTCTGACTCCTGCAGTCCCTGTGATTTGAATGGGAATATTCCCACACGACCCCACTCTATGTAGACTATGAAATAGGCCAAGCAAACACAATGGCTCTAACCAGGCCAATGAGAACACTCCCTGGAGAATCTAATGGAACCAGGGGAAATAAACTCAGTCACTTCTAAGATTCCAAGTGCTGAAGACCACACAGCCCTTGATCTGCCCTTGATTACATGCTGTCAGGAGAGCGCGTACTCAGCATGCAGTCATACAGAGGAAAGCCAAGCCAAGCAGCAGAAAGACAGTGATCAGGTGACATCACTGTTGAGGGTTTGGACTGATTCAATCCTAGATTTCTAAGTGCCGTCAATAAAGTTCTCTCTTTTTCTCTTTTGCCACAGTGAGTTTGTTTTGGCTTTACAATGGAAAGTGCTGATGAATTCAGGGACAGAAACACATAACTGCTATACCATGGGATAGGAGTTATAACCGAGTTATTTACAAAGTCCAACTAACAGAATAGGACAGTCTCCTTGTAGGTAAGATAAGTTGGGGAAATTTTCAGAAGAGAGGTGATACTTAACTAAACTCTCAAAGAATTAGCCACCCAGCCATAGAATAGAAAGATAGAATAATAGAAAGGTTATTCTATGCAGAAAACACATTATGACCAGAAGCAAGAGGGTGGGAAAGAACATGGAATGTTTGGGGAATTAAAACAGCACATCATGCTAAAGCACTAAGCTCACAGCAGAAAGCAGACTGTGAAAGAATTTACCTGATCTCTAGGTGACAAGCTGTCACTGGGTGACCAAATCAGACCTTCCATTTATTTAACCTCACAAGACTGGTAGACTCACAAATAAAATGGGAAAATCAGAATGCATAACTATGAGTTGATAAAAAAAAATATCAATGTGGCTCAAGCAGTAGCGCGCTCGCCTGCCATGCGTGCGGCCCGGGTTCGATCCTCAGCACCACATACAAACAAAGATGTTGTGTCTGCCGAGAACTGAAAAATAAATATTAAAAAAATTCTCTCTCTCTCTCTCTCTCCTCTTTCTTTAAAAAAAAAAAAAAAAATCAAAATATCTTACCTGCTGATAGAACTCATCATCTTTGGGGGTCAGATAAGGAAGCCAAGTGTCTTCAAGCTCTTCAAGAAGCCTCAGTTTCTGTTTAAAAATAAATAATAACAATTAATTTAGCCATCTTGAATGTATAAACTTTTAAAAATGGAAATTAGTCAAATGTCAATTATGAAATGTATTAATTAAATTATACACATTGTAGATTACATGTTGTACGAAGAATGAATTTCAAAATGATGATCTTATTCACTCAGATTTCATGACACATTTTGATTCACTCTTCATAAATATTTTTGGCATCAAGGTCTTTTTTTTTTTTTAATCAGTAGAGTCACCTTATGATTCATCCAATACAGTTTCCTAGAACAAATCTTCCTATTTGTATAATCTGCTTGAAACACAGTAGTTGTTAAACCCTTCCATGATACTATTACTGGAAACATCAAACTAAACCACAAGTATTCATTTGCATAACATCAGGGTATCTGGACTAGTCATCTTATAAACACTTATTTAATCATGTCCACTTATAACAATGCCTTTCTAAAGTGATCTTTTATATCTACAATAATTACTAAATCTATGTTAAGCTTCTTTGCTTTCTTTCTTTGTCAATTTTATGCAACACCCTTCTTAAGCACTGTCTGGGGCTGCTTCAATAAACTATGTGTTCCTCAGTCAGGCCTACCTGCACACCTATAATCCCAGAGACCAGGGAGACTGAGGCAGGAGGATCACAAGTTCAAGGCTAACCTCAGAAACTAAACAAAACCCTGTTTCAAGATAAATAAATAAAAAGGGCCGAGATGCAGTTCAATGGTAAAGTACCCCTGGGTTTAATCCCCAGTACCAAAAAGAACAACTATGTCTTTCTCAAACAGAATGTACTATTCAAACAAAGTAATTAAGAGGGCCCCATTTATAAGGTGCCTTATAAGGAATCAAATAAATATGAAGTGACTTCCTCTGAGGGATTTTCTCAAAGGATACCCACCCTTATATTGAGGCATATACAGAGTTCCGTGGGGGCACATAAGTGGCATATAGGAGTGTATATATGGACACCTATACACATTGGGCATACATACCAAATATTTGTAAAAGAAAAAGAAAACAACAGAAACAACCAGTTTTCAAGTAAAACTGCAAAAAACAACAAAAATGCACCCTCAAGGCTACAGTTAGCCAGAAAAGCATCATTGCAAGGATTAGAAAACAGCCTGTCTTGCTCTGGGCCAATGCAGCCCCACCCAATAGAGTATGGCTTGATAAATCAAACCTCATTTCAGCCCCACTGGCTCCAACAGCCATTGTCCTTATACGGTGTACAACCTGCTCAACCAGACATGATGATACAGAGTATTACCCTCTCCCACCCCAGGAAAGCAACCTTCTCTCCCAAACCCATCATAATCAGAGTAGTCCAAGCAAGCAAGTTCTTTTAGGAAGAACTTGAATTCTTTCTGGACCTTTTCAATCATAATCCAAAGTGAATTACGAGAAAGGGAATAAAAATATAACAAAGAGTCTATGGCCCAGAAACGAAACAGTAAATTCTACTGTTAGGCTTAATTCTGACCTATTTATTTAATTAAAGTCTTTGATAGTAGGTATCTCCTCATCTATAATGGTAATACCAGTTAAATTTTGAAGAGTTTTCCCTTACTCAGGACCTATAATACTAATATGACATAAACCTTAGTCTGGACAATTAGTTCATTGGTTAATTGGTTTATCTACTTTCAGTATTAGCCATTATTGGGGACATAAAAAGACCCAGTGACATTTCCATGCATGTACTTGCACATTTATACATGCCATCACTAATTTAACAAAATCTATACTTTAGTTCTCATGTTCAGCTCAGGAAACTGGCATTTTCCTATAAACCTTTTGCCAGTTCTTATGACTTTATATACACACAAAGCTCTAGAGTATTTATAAATGCCACAAAAATATTTTAGCTTCGAATAATCTAAATGCTCCATCTTACAAAATCATCTTAAAATCTTCACAAGAAACTATCAATAAAGTTGATCTGTACACATGGAGGAGCACAAAGGTACAGGTTCCCAGAAGAAATTACATACCATATCCAAATCAGACCAAACACCAATAGACCTGTCCTATAAGTCAACAGGCATCAATGGGTGCTGTTTGTAATTAAGACTTTGCTAAATTATCATAAAACCACCACTTCTCGGTTCAATTGAGACCCAGACCATCCATAAGGTATAAAACACTGTAACTCAGAAGTCCATATCAAACAGACAAAATTCTACAAGAATTTTCCCACTACAGAACAAGCAGAACATAAATAGTCTTCCTGTACTAGGAATTTTCATATTAACACTGCGAGCATCATGCTATGTATGTGACAAGGGAGAACAGGGGTCAGGAGATCACCCAACTTAAGATCAAACAGATGAAAGCTGCTCTGTACATCAATATTCACTACTTGTGATTTAACAATGAATGGCAAGATCAATTATAAATAATATTTATGAACTTAAAAAGAAGTTTTGGTTATGTTCCCATTGATAAAATCAATCAGAAATAAACATCAAGTTAAACTAGTAGTCCATGAACATCATAATTTTAAATTATGATTGCTTTATAAAATTAAAAATTAGACATTAAGTTTGCTTTCTAAAAAGCACCGTGAGACTAAAAAGCAGGTCCTCTTGAACTCTGCTGCCAAGAGTTTAAAGCAGTACAACATCTACAAGGACAACTGACAACTTTCAAAATTCAAATGCTTTGACCCTTTGACCCAGAATCCTACCTACTTCTGAGTGTTTATCCACAGATATCTTGTAACATGGTTCAGACATGTACAAGGTTACTCATCACATCAAAAAGCTTAGAAACATTAAAACATTAAAAGCCAATGAATTGTGCTGGGTATGGTGGCACATGCCTACAATCCCAGCTATCCAGGAGGCTGAGGCAGGAAGATCACAAGTTCAAGGCCAGTCAGGCTTAGCAAGACAATATTTCAGAATAAAAGGGCTGAGGTTATAGATTAGTATAGAGGGCCCTGCACTCAGTCCCCATTACTTGGCGAGGGGGACCACAGAATTGCACACTTCAGGGGTGAATTTTATGGTATGTGAATTATCTCAATAAGACAAAAAGATTAGAAATAATGCAAATGTTTATCCATGGAGGACAATGCAATAAACTAAGGTCCATCTATATAATGAAATACAATGCAAAAGAAACAAAAATAAAGAAGCTCCCTATTTCTGATAAAAAGCTCTCTGGGAATTACTGAAAAGTGAAAAACTAGATAAAACATCTGCTTGTATTTACCTATAAAAACATAAAGGATACATGATGAAGTATTAAAGTGGTATTTGTTAGGAATAGAGGTAGAAAATGACCAGAAGGGGACCAGGGCAGAGCAAGGCTCTTCAAAATATCCTATATTATTTTGATTCTTGAACAATGTAAACAAATTACCTACTCCACATATTACCTAGGACCAATTCAAACATATTTCCTATGAATTCTTGACATGGAATTCAACACAAAAAAGAAGTAGTTACAATGTGGGGCTCTGTTTAAAGTGCATACTTTCATCCACCTACAATGAAGTGTTTATTTGGGAAACTATCAGACTAGCACACTGGAGAGTGAAGAGAGGAAAAAGCAGCTCTGACAGTTCTCAGTGTCAAATGCCAACTGTGGGTAAACATGCACCGCATGAAAATGCACTCTGGACTGGAGGCAGAGCAGCCCCCACTTGACTGTCAGGTCTGGCTCACTGCAGCTCCTCAGCCTGGCGTCCACAGGAATCCACACGGCTGGGCCCTGCAGCACACCGCTCAGCTCACAGGCTTCTTTGCTGTCACACTTGTGTCAAATACATCAACCTGCTCACAAATGCCACACGGAGAGTCAGAGAGGGCCCAAAGCCTCAGTTCTCCCACCTGGCAGGAGGAGCACACAAAGATCCTTCCATGGAGACTACTGCCCATCTCCACAGCTCTAGCAAGTAAAGGGGACATGAGACCTTCCATAAAATGTGATGCAGCTTAAAAACCACAAAGGTTTGAGGTTGGATGTCAGAAACTACTCGAGGCCTCCACCTATGCTTCACTATGAAAAGCTGAGATGTACTGAACTTGCAGAGCCTGCCAAATAGAAATATGGCCTGAGTCTTACAGTAGTTACATGAAACGATGAGCTGGATTTTGATTCACCATGCAAGGATGTATCTCCCCTACAAATGAAGTGTATTTTTTGTCTGACAAGTGTCTCTTCAACCTCATCAGACTATGTTGCTAAACATCTCTTATGCTTTATCCATTTTTTATTTTCCACATAATAGTTTTTAAACTATTTGTCATATTGTATCAAGTTCAAAAGAATTTAATTTTGCTATCTGAGTCTTCTCAAAATATGATCACAAAGTCTAATGAATATTCGTTGTGGAAATAACAATCTGCACAAATCTTGTACAGATTTCAAGCAAGCGGGAAAACTGACCTAAACTTAATGCAGGGCATAACTGGGCACTTTTCAGGAATTCCCATCTAAATTAACACTAGAAAGACCAGTAAGAGGTACCTAAGCCAAAAAAAAAAAAAAAAAAAAAAAACCCAAACACACTTTATGTTTATGCATGGTTATGTATAATATCTGTTTTAAGTAAAAAGAAGCTTATCTGTTTTAAATAAAAAGATCTCAACCATTCCAACAAACTTGGCATTCCCTGTCCTGTTCTCAATGAAAATATGGCATGGTAAAAATGAGTAGAATTGGGAGGAAAAGGCAGACATTTGGGTTCAAACACTCTATCATTTCCCACAGGTGGTCCTGCACCTGAATCAACTTCTCTCAACCTCATTGCCTCATCTCTAAAGCTGTTTCCTAGGACTGCTGTGGAAAAAAATAAAAGTAATCGTATCATATTAGAACTGGAGAACATTATTCTAAGTGCAAGAAGCCAATCTAAAGAACAAAAGGCAAATGTTTCCTCTGATATGCGGATGCTAATTCACAATGTGAGCAGGGGAACAGAGGTTATTTCATACTAGACAGAGAGGAGTGAAGGGAAGGGAGGTGGATTGGGGGTA